AGCAAGTGCTCCTGCTGGTTTTGCTATCACCGTTCTTTTTTGTTGAACAAAACAATGTGTAACAGAAATGCCCACCACTTACCACAAAAGGTTTGGGAACTACACCAGATGGTCTCCTGCTATGAGGTGGGTGATGTTTTGGTACCTCTTGTACCAGCACAGGGCAGAATGAAGGCAGTGTTATCGGAGTTTCAACACAAAATTTGTCTAATCAGGAGGAGTGAAGTAGGAATTGTGACTAGATCTGCTTCATGTAGGGTAAAAATACCTGCACTATCTTCAGTCCTAAAAGATAGCCTTGCAAGAGTAACATTATCTAAGAATTGGGAAAACTTGGCTTATGGCAAGTTAACTGCTGCTAGTACTTCAGCTGGGTTGGGGTAGAGAATATCACCTAGGCAGAGGTCACGAGTGTAATCTGTTTAGAAGGAATCCTGTCTGAACAAATATGAGCTTCTCTTGAGATATTTGCTGAAGCTTCAGCAGCTAGGCAATGTCTGGTTAGGAAAGCTATTATATTTGAGTAGCAATTTCATAGTGCAGAAGAAGATCTGGAAGGTGAGGTGGGTCCGAATCTTAATGTCAATGAGCTGGTTGGTACGTGTATGTTGGATAGCTGGCGGACAGAAAACCTGGGCTATTTCAGCGTCAGGTGTGTTATTGCAGCCCTGAACACAAAAGCTGCATTGCCAGTGTGCTCGGTGGTGTGCTGGAGACTGTGTTCCCCCACCAAAGCAATAAGGGAAATTTGAGGATGCTGGTTTTTAAGACTGTCATTGGTGGGATTTATGTCTTGCTAATACTGAGTATGAGATCGTTAAGCAGGCTGCCATCCCGGCTCTTTAGGAGAATATTTTTGCTAATTCACAAGATATTTTAACCTACATAGAGTTGGTTGAACACATAAGCCGGTAAAATTGTATTTTCTGACAGTTGCCAAATCCCACTCTTACGTGATAGACAGTTAAAACCCACAAGACTTTTGTCATAAACGGGACTGAAGGATCTATTCCCAGGTATGTTCAGTAAAAAATAGAAAGCAAGCACAACAAAAACCATTGTGAATAGAATAAAACTTCAGTTGATTATAGTCTTTCTGTAAGAATAGATTTTACTACAAACATCTTTCTGTTAATGTGGGTAACATGAATGTAATTTGGGTCTATCTATTTGGTAAACATTATAATACTCTACATTATTCTCTATATTGCAAACTAACGTAGTTTCTATTGTCTTTACAAACAAGACTGTAATAATTTCTATTTAAGATTCACATAGTTCACCTCAAAGGTCAGCTGTCAGCATGAGATACCAGAATTTTGTTGACTAGACCATTGTCCAGTGAGTCTGCTCCGGTGTTTCTAAGCCAGTCTCGTCTGTCACGGAAGGCAGTGGTAACTCAGAGATCAGTTGCAATGTCAGGTTGTGCCTGTGGGCAGTAAGAATAATGCTTCCATTTTCTCCTTTGTTAATATCTTCTCGTGTGCTTCCACTCTCCATGCCTTCAAACCTCTTACCACCACCTCTGGTGCTGGCCTCTCAATCCAACCTCTTTCCCACTTATTCCTCAGCGTAGCCAGGGGTTGCCGCGACTGCCTGTTGATCTGTGGCTCGGCAGGATCTCCATTCACGTGGGATTTAGATCCTACCTGCTTTCTACCTGCAAGTGTTGCCTCTGCTGGCAATGGTGCACGTTCTGTGGTTTAGGATTTCCTCACTGGTGAAAGCTGTAAGAAACTTAATGGAATGATCTTTCAGCTGATTTACATCTGGCACAGGAGAGTGTAGCACTCTCTTAAGTTTTAAGTCCATCTAATCTAACAAAGATCTCCCTTACCAGTGCTTAGTTCTGCTCTGGAGTCTACATATTTGACCCTATACTCCAGGTGGCAAATGAAGTAACTGGATTTCCAATTATGGCACGTCACCTTAGTAATTTTGGATTTCATATGTGCCTCCCTGTATTGAGAGAAAAATCTTGCAGGAGGTTCAAGGACAGGCAATATGCTTAGCCAAAGGGAATTTTTGTGGCTTTCCGATATTCTGATAGGAGTTCTAACTTCTTTAGAGTTAAAAGAAAAAAGCTCAGAAAATATGGCCAGATGTCAAGTTAATCTTTTGAAGTGTTTTTTCTCTTCCCTGAATTCCCAATATCAGAATACATCTTACAAGGTACAGTGTTCTTGTCAGCCTGCGTGTCGTACCACTGCACTGTTTTTCTCCAAGAACCCTAGTTACCTGTAGTGCATCATCAAGACAATAATGGTGCTATCAGAGACCATTTTTAACACTTTGGTTGTCCAAAATTTCTAATTGTATTGCTCATTCTTGCCCCTTAACCTCTTGGTTTTCCATTTTTCAGTAAAACTTGGCTTTTTTTCCTCAGTTAAAAATAAATGTGTGTCAGCATAATGCTGTGTGTCAAACTATGTTACCTCTGCAAGGAAAACTTGCAAACAGAAATTTGGAGCCCCTTGACCAGCCAAGCAACTTAGCTTATTCTCTGACTGCTGAACTTGGCTCTGTGAGTTTTATGTCCGTGCCCCACGCTCCCTAGCCCACTGATGTTGGGGTCCGGTTGGGATGAAAGTGCTGTTTTCACCAGGCATTTTGCTAGGCAGTTCAAGAAGGAAGCTAGCCTCCTTGAGAGTAAAAAAGTATGATTCACATGTTGGGTTTCTTCCTTTTGCTTACAACTTGGCCTTATGGTATTAATAGAAACACCATTTTCAAGAATTTAAGAATAAACATAACGGTCCAGTGTTTTATTTTTTCTATTAAAATAAATGCAGAGAATCAAAGTAATTTTTTTCTATGCGTGTTTTTATTACTTGGCTTTTATATGTTTAAGATAACAATCTAGCCAGAAGTAGTAGTCTGTGGTTTGTTTGTTTCCCAATTTTCAGTAATAGCAAGCTCATAATTGGCAATCCTGACTTGTATTTCTGCCTTGCATTTACTTGTGTGCTTTCAGTTTATGTATGACTTTTCTGTCCCATTTTCTTACCCGATGAGAGTGACGCTGATAGCTGGATCTGTATTGCAGGCACAGTAAGATTTATATTACTCTTGTCTTAGGAAAAAAAAGAAAAAACCCAGATGAAAATACTTATGTGCCAGTTGTGTATACGTTATGATTTTTTTATTAATTTGAAAATTTTAAAGATTAATTGAAACAGGTTACAAAATAGTGGAAGAAATTCCCATGCTCATGTAAGACTAATATGAGGAAAAATCTCCTTTGAACTTAAATTGTGACATTTGTATCCTTTAGTAATAGTCAGGTAACTGGGGGAATGGGGTGTTTCAAAACTCATATTCTGAAGTAGTTGGTGAAAAGCAACACAAGAATTTCATTTGATGCCGCTGGCAACAGTATTTGCTGCTTCAGTGGTTGTTAGGAAGGGAAAGGGAAGGATATCTTGTCCTATACCCATAGTTGTCTTAGACTCTGACTTCTACTCCTTCAATTCTCTGTGCTATTTATCTTTGTCAAAACCTTTCCAACCTGTTGAAAGCTAGGGAAGCAAGGGCTGCTTTAAAAAAATACTAAATTTCTTAAAAGCTGTTTTAGTTCTTTCAGCATGCATAATATAAATCTGCATTATCTTATAGCATATGTGCACCTATGTATGCTCATATGTATCTGCACTTATTTTTTGTGTATAAATGGGTTTATGTTTGTATACTGTATATAATGTGTGTATGCTTCAAAGTACAGTGTGCATCTGTTCACATAGCTTAATTTTTTTTAAGGAAAAGTGTCTTGGAGGTCATGCCTTGTTTCAGGGTGAAACTGTGTGTTTACTGATGAGACTGTGGGGGCTGGATGTTCCAACCAGTTAACTAGAAGTTTTAGATATTTTCCAAGTAGCTTCCTGGTGACTCTTTCCAAATAGGGTCAAGTTTAGAGCTCCAGTATGGACTAGGGTGCCTCTTCTGGTTTTGTTTGGAAGTTGTTTTCTGTTTATAAATGACCCCCCCCCCAAAAAAAAAGTGAAATTTGTCTTACTTCTGCGTGGCTACATGTTAATAAGTCACTCTAAGTGCTTGCTGTATTTACTGGAAGGGAATGGGCATTTCTAGAACATGTCATCCTGAATTAAATGTCTGCAGTAAGTGGATAAATCGCTCCTTGAAAGTTCCTATTTCTCCAAATTGACTGTGAAGCGAGTGTAATGGATGACTTGCTGAGATGCAGGTGTATACTTGTTTTGAGGTGAGTCTTACCTTTAGTGCTGTACTCTGAAGCCCTTCCAATTGTTAATTTTTACTTTTCCCTTAAAGTAATCTCAGGGAAATGAGTAGAATCTTTCCTTCCCCCCACCCCCATGCTTATTACTGTTAGGATGGAAGGTGAATATAGCCATTTAAATGTATTGCAGTAGAAAGATAATTGCAGAGCCCTTGTGGGAGCATAATAATCAAACATTAGCAAGTAAATAAACAACAACATAGAAAACACGATGTATAAGTAGCCCCTGAGATAACCTCATAGTCTGCAAGCCATTCTTTGGTAGCTTTCAAACCATTACTAGATTAAACCTTTCTCAAATCAGACCGTGATGGTAATGTCAAAATCACCTACACTTGTTTGTTTTGACTTTCAGGTAGTTTGAAATAAATATGCCCAGCTATTTTGTGGCTCCAAACAACAACTATGCCAGGAAGTTGATTCTGCAGCTGCTTGTGAATGCCGTCTGAAGGCCGGCAGTGTGCTGGTGAGCATTGGCCAGGACACAAAGGCATTCAGTAACCAGGCAAATGACTGGCTTTCTTGAGGAAGATACAAAGAAGAAACCTTTATTTCTTGCGTAGTTGGAAGGCAAAGCAATACAATCTTGACACCTGGCTAACTTAAAGAAGCATTTTTCAAAATACCTCTTGACTGTGTGGATCTTGTAACTCTGACACAAACGTGCCTTTGGACTTGTGCAAATAAATCATTGGAAGAATTGACTGGGCAAAGCAGTCATTGAAAGAGTGGCTGTTGAAGAATCATGACGAAGCACTTGGAGATCATCAATTTGTCATTTTTGTTGGAACATGAAAGGGAAACAATATTGGGAGTATTGAAGAGAGATGAGTATCTGAAAAAAGTTGAAGATAAAAGGATAAGGTAACCCTTTTTATTATCGTTCTTAAAAATATGGTCCGTGGTATAGATATTTTTGTGGTACCCAGTGAAGATTTTCTAGATGCCTCAGGAGAAGGATGAGTGTTGCGAGGTGGCACAGTTAATTATAAGTCAGTGTGTTAAAAAGAAAACTGCTTGCTAGTGTGGCCCTCTGTAAACAAAAGATTATGTCCATTGCTTCAAGGCAAAAGAGTAAGAAAGATAACAAGGGCAAAAAACCCCAGTGGTTTTTAAATTTCAGATGCTGTAGCTTTTGCCCAGTTTGGCTGAATTTCCCCCCTGTGAATGGAAGGCTTTAGTAAGGCTCTTGAACTGCCTTCCTCTGAGAGGAGCTGTATGCTTTGTGCCTTCAGAGCTGACTGCGGGAGAGGAAGTTTGGAAGGTGTCACAGGGAGAGAAAGTAGGTGTCTGCCTCTGTACAGGAGTCCATACAGCATGGGGCAAATGCGAGATAGTGACCTTTTTCTTTCTGTTGCAGTACTTACAGAATAGGGAGGAGGAGGGACGCTTCATTTTTCAAATGACTTAGATTTACTAATGAACAAATAAAACGGAAAATCTCTGGTATGGATCTCAAAAGTCGCTGATGGGAGAAGTAGAGACTCAGGGTATTAATAGAGTCCGTGTGTCCTCTTCTGAGGAAAAAAGGTAAAAATCAAAGTTTAGAGAACAATGTGTGGAGGCAGGCTGAGAGTCAGCTCTTTTAGATGACTCAAACTCGGTTAGTTCAGCTAAGTATCAGTTCTGCAAAGGTTCATATGCTTTTCCAGTATGTTGTTGCTGCTTCCTCTTGCTTCTCCCCACTGCCCTTTTAAACTTTTATACAGTGCTGGTTCTGAGAAGCAGGCGTAGCGTGGATGTATGCAGCACTTCGTGTTGGCGAGGCTGCTGAGCGTAATGGATGACAAAGGGAAGATTTCCAGCCTTTGCTGGTTTCTGTCCCTGTATTCCAAGGCCAGGCTGCATTGTTCTTCCCTTTGATTTGCTAAAAAGCATTTTAGACATTGTGCATTGCAGAGATGTACATTCAGCACCTGCTGAGGCTTCTTTTGTATAAAACTATTATTTGGCAATTCATGCAGAGTTAGCCACTGGTTTTGGAAGTCTTTCTACCTTGAGAGAACCAAGTCTAGCTGCAATGCCCCTACTGGTGTGCAGCCCATTTAACTGGGGAAACGCAGCGGCTCATCTAAATGGAGTGGGCTAAAATTGGTTGCTGCTTCTGCTGCAAGACTGGAAGGAAAGGTGCTTCTTTATGGTGGTGTGGGCAAATTAATCATTTTGTCTCCTTCATGATTTGTCAGATGAAGAAGAAAACAGAACAGAAGAAAACAGATGGAGCACTGTTTGTTCCAGGCATTGTGCTCTGTTTTGTAATAGGATAAGCATTTCAAAGTACGTATTTCAGTTTTTGAAGGTGGTGGCCTTGGAAATGTGTGATGTGCCAGTAGTCATCGGTCAAAGGTGTCGCTATGAAGTGCAGCAGTGTATCAGATCACGAGCTTCCCAACCCCCCAGAAAGCTTTCTGTTCTACTGCTGTTGTTTCCCAATCTCAAGTGGAAAGTTGAAACTCCTGAGGTTTTGTGGGTTTTTTTGTTGTTTGGGTTTTTTTGTTGTTGTTTTTTTAATACGATGTCTTAAAACCCCTAATTTTCTGCTTTTTTTGGCACTACTGGAAGTCACTCTGCCAAACCTACTGGGTTTGAGAACCCGAGGCACCTCTGGAGGGTGCGGTTCAGGAAAGCGACAGGTGGTATTGGCTTATCTGTGTTTTGGTACAAATGGAAAGAGCACCCTAAGAAAAGGCTGAAAATGAAGTTAATCTGAAATATAATGCTAATTAGAATAACTAATGATGCAATGTGATGCTTATGCATACTTCTAGCACCTGTATATGAACCAATTGGTTTCAGATTCAGAGTATATTTGGAAATTGTCAGTAGACCATACTGTGCATGATAATGGTGGAATGTAGTCTATAAAAGACTTCCAAGATATACAAACTATAAAGAACTGGGTGGGTAACTGCTTCCTAGGAGACTTCATAATTCTTCTTTCTGAATACAGCTTGGCAAGGATATCTTTAATTATGACTTATAGGTATACTTCAGAGGAACATTTGTTGTCTTTGGGATTCCATTTGGTGCAATCTGTTGTATATTTTATTGAAGTACTTTGCAGAAGAACAAGTCTCTTTGTATTTATTTTCAAGGTATTTTCCATTCTGGCAAGATGCTTGCTCATACATTGTACTGAAGAATTTTTATTAGTCTGTTCCACTCTTTCTGGATCTATCTTGATAATTGTTTTTCCTGTTCCTATTACTCTTCAAAAGCCATCGTAACTTGAAAGGGTCTTTCTATTCAACATGAAAGCAATAGTGAGTGTAGGAGGATGTCCTAATAATGAACTTGTTAAGAGTTATTTTCACTATCATTGCTCATACTTGTGTTCTGGAGTGCAGGTGGCTGTTCTTGTATTTTTATGTGATGTACAAATATTTCACCTATATGCAAGAGAAACACAGAAGGCAGCAAGTACTCTTTCTGTGGTCTAGTTTTGATAATACAAATAAGCAACCTGCTTAATAAATATTAGAGTTTATGTTCTTAACTTTAAGTGTGCATCTTGTGTGACTGGAAATTTTCTTTGAATATTGATTTAAAGCTGTTAGTAGATTGCTTGTGCAAATAACCTACAGTGTTCTAAACATTACTCTACAATGCCTTTCATGTCAGTCAAATGGCCATCATGATTGTTTTCAAATGCTAAGATTATTTGGGTGAAATCATTAAATTACATACAACTAAAATAGCTGAAAATAGTGAACTTGACCATACCGAGGGTGAAAAAGTAAGGTTTTTTTAACATGTGAGTTGCTGGGAGAAACTTGCATCCAGATAATGTCAGTCAGACATTCTGAACTGAATGTTTTGGACTGAAACATGTATCGTTTTCCTCATTTCCCCATCCTTTTACTATTTTGAAATAGTTTTGTTCTTTTAAGACCCTTTTTATGAAAACCCATATCACATTTAATGTGTAGTATCACAAGTCATGAAATCAATACTGAATCGAAAGAATGTATTTGCCGAAAAGGGGCGTGTACCATGTACTGGGTGTGTTTCATCTAACTGTTGTTGGGTTGTTTCTGTTCCAACAGCAGCCCCACTGCACCCTCCCCAGCTGTGGTGTTACACAGGGAACTGGGTCTGATGGTCATAGAATTTTGCATTTGCAGCTAGCTCTTCGTCTCAGTATTATTATGCTACCACAGAGCAAACGCGCATGACACTGGTAATGTACATTGCTTTCTTACCTTGACTATTTTCCTAGACAGTGTTTAAAATACAAAGGATCTTTTCATTCCTTATGAAGCAAAGCTGTGAATACTATGCTTTTAGAAGAGGAGATACCAGCGAAATAATTGCTGAACTGAGAAAACAAAGAAGGAACATGCCAATTTCTTCCAAGGATAAGGCTTTATTGGGTTATTACTTGAATCATTCCCTCAGCATTTAGGTTGCCAGAAGTTGTGTATGAATTGCACTAGCCCCAGATCTGTATTGGCAAGGAAAGTTGGCATTCCTGTCTTTTCAGTTAACTAAAATGGCATCTCCTTATCAGTCCGAAGAGATCCACAGAAGCAATTTAGGGTATTAACTTCATTACAATATAGGAGAAACTGTTAGCATGGATACCACCATGTGGTAACTACAGGCAAGTACTTTAGGAAAAAAAAAAATTAAGTTTGAGTAAGGGGAATGGGAATTGACTTATCTGCTGAGTATACATTTGGACTTGTTTATAAGCACAAAAAGATTGCAAGATAGTATATAGTATGGTATATGGTCTGTGTTTTTGCAAAACTGTCTATAAGTATTTGAAGGAAAGAGTCCTTATGTTAAAGCATATTGCTCATCCATACGTGTATGGGAAGTTAGGAGGTTGCTTGTCTGGCAGCTCGCTCATTTGTCAAGTGAATTTAACACATTGTTATTCTTTGAACCAGAGACACTTCCATCAAAAGTTCTTACTAGAGCATTGCCAGTACTCTTAAGGGTAGAGATGCCTGTTTTGCTCTCCAATGTTCTTCGAGAGTGAAGATCCTCCATTGGTGAAAGAATTTCTGATGGTGATTAATTTTCATACTCTGGGTACAATTTATTTTATCAAAGACTAGTAAGAAACCAACAAGCAATTTGCATTTTATTTTTTTTAAACCTTAGTAACAGTTTTTAGTTGAGAGGATGAGGGAGTTACTCAGGAAAAGGTTCATCTGTGGAAGTTTGTCATCATTATAGTATCCAATATCATTTCAGTTCCCACGCCGCCTCTCCTTCTGTTCACTGGGCTCCATTCTGACATTCATTGTGCTGGTTCTCTTTTCCTTTGCAAATTCATTCTTTGCCTTTCCCTGTTTCCCTTCGTTGTCACCAATGTACCTCCATACTCAGATATTCTTAAGACAGTTTTTATCATACAGATCTGTTACATAAGCAAAGTGTGAAAATCTGTGCTTATAAAATAAGAACCTAAAAAATACTTCAGGTACTCAAATGGCTAGATTTTACAATGCAAGGAGATCTCAATGGAAATTGGTAATAGCCCATCCTTTTGTGAATCGTCAATAATATTTACTGTTACTTTCCACATATTGTGTCAGACAGTGGAGGGAATCTGGTTGAATTTGGAGGAGGTACTGGGAATCAGTCTGGGGAGGAAACTTCCTTTCTCCCTCAGCCTCCAGAAGTATGTTGGTATCGGTTCCTGCACAGAAAAATTCTCTAGTATCTAAGTTAACAGCTGCACAGCTTCAGAAGGAGGGTGTGTCAACTCATCTGTGCAGGAAACAGAACTTTCTTAAGAACAGGTGCAAGACCGGAGCAATTTCTTATATTTAAACTTTTTTCCTGCTGAAGTCTTTAATTATAGTTGGTCGAGGACAGGTGGTTTGTTTTGGTTTTTTTACTGTAATTTT